TCCTACCACACCATTCTATAAATTCAATGCAAACCCAATAAAAATCCTGACTTCTCAGAAACTGAAAGTTGATTTCAAAGTGTATATGAAAGTGCAAAGAACCTAGAATAGGCAAATCAAACTTGAAAAAGAGGAATAAAGTTGAAAGACATAAGGATGACTGAAAGAGGATATAGATGGAATGGAAAGCTCATATGTCACTGGTGGTAATGTAAATGGGTACAATCATATTGGAAAACAGTTCTTCGGGGCACCTGGGTGGCTCAGTTGGTTAAGTGTCTGCCTTCGGCTCAGGTCATGATCCCAGGGTCCTGAGATTGAGCCCCGCATCGGGCTCCCTGCTCGGCGGGAAGCCTGCTTCTCCCCCTCTCCCACTCCCCTTGCTTGTGTTCCCTCTCTCGCTATCTCTCTCTCTCTCTGTCAAATAAATAAATAAATAAATAAAATCTTTTTTAAAAAAGAAAAGAAAACAGTTCTTCTGTTTCTTTTAAAGGTAAACTTACACTTGCCACGGGAAAGAATATCCAATGGGAAAAAAAGACAGTCTCTTCAACAAATGGTGTTGGGAAAACTACACATGCAGAAGAATGAAACTGGACCATTTTCTTACACCATACACAAAAATAGACTCATAATGGATGAAAGACCTAAATGTGAGACAGGAATTCATCAAAATCCTTGAGGAGAACACAGGCAGCAACCTCTTCGACCTCGGTCGCAGCTACTTCTTGCTAGACACATCTCCAAAGGCAAGGGAAACAAAGGCAAAAATGAGCTATTGTGACCTCATCAAGATAAAAAGCTTTTGCACAGCAAAGGAAATAGTCGACAAAACCAAAAGACAACCTGCAGAATGGGAGAAGAAATTTGCAAATGTCTTATCAGATAAAGGGTAGTCTCCAAAATCTATAAAGAACTTACCAAACTCAACACCCAAAGAGCAAATAATCCAGTCAAAAAATGGGCAGAAAACATGGACAGACATTTCTCCAAAGAAGACCTACAAATGGCCAACAGACACATGAAAAAATGCTCAACATCACTCGGCATCAGGGAAGTACAAATCAAAACCACAGTGAGATACCACCTCACACCGGGCAGAATGGCTAAACTTAACAAGTCAGGAAATGACAAATGTCAGCGAGGACTTGGAGAAAGGGGAACCCTCCTTCACTGTTGATGGGAATGCAAGCTGGTGCAGCCACTCTGGAAAACAGTATGGAGGTTCCTCAAAAACAGAGGAATAGAGCTACCCTAGGACCCAGCAATTGCACCACTGGGTATTTACCCCAAAGATACAAATGGAGTGATCTGAAGGGCCACCTGCACCCCAATGTTTATAGCAGCAATGTCCACAATAGCCAAACTATGGGAAGAGCCCAGCTGTCCATCGACAGATGAATGGATAAAGAAGATATGGTATATATATACACAATGGAATACTACTCAGCCATCAAAAAAAATGAAATCATGCTATTTGCAATGAGATGAATGGAACTAGAGGGTATTATGCTAAGTGAAATAAATAAGTCAGTCAGAGAGAGACAACTATCATTTGATCTCACTCATATGTGGCATTTAAGCAACAAACCAGAAGATCATAGGGAAAGAGGGAAAAATGAAACAGGATAAAATCAGAGAGGGAGACAAACCATAAGAGACTCTTAATCATAGGAAATAGATTGAGGGTTGCTGGAGGGGAGGAGGTGGGGGGATGGTGATGGACATTAAGGAGGGCATGTAATGTAATGAGCACTGGGTATTATATAAGACTGATGAATCACTGAACTCTACCTCTGAAACTAATAATACACTATATGTTAGTTAATTGAATTTAAAATTTAAAAAAGTAAACTTATACTTACCATATGACCCAGAAATCTCACTTCTGCTATTTACACGAGAGAAATAAAAATATATGTCCACGAAAAGACTTGTACATGAATTTTCATGTCAACTTTATTAATAATAACCCCAATTTGGAAACAAGCCAAATGTCCATCAGCAGGTGAATGGTTAAACAAATTATGGTACTTCCATGCAACGGAATACCAGCCGGTAACAAAGAGGGATGAATTACTGATACACCCAACAACTTGGATGAATCCCCAAGTCATTATGCTAAGTAAAGCAAGGTGGACTCCAAAGAGTACCTACTGTATGATTCTTTTTTTTTTTTTTTAAGATTTTATTTATTTATTTGACAGAGAGAGAGAGACAGCGAGAGAGGGAACACAAGCAGGGGGAGTGGAAGGGGGAGAAGCAGGCTTTCTACCGAGCAGGGAGCCCGACTCCGGGCTCGATGCCAGGACCCTGGGACCACGACCTGAGCCGAAGGCAGACGCTTAACGACTGAGCCACCCAGGCGCCCCCCTACTGTATGATTCTTGGAAATTCTAGAAAAGGCAAATCTAAGCTCTATTTGTTATCTGAGGGCAGAATGTAGAGGAGGAGAGTGTCCATACAGAGGCACAGGGCAGAATGTAGAGGAGGAGAGTGTCCATACAGAGGCACAGGGGGAATTGTGAGAGTGATGGGAATGTATCTTGACTTTTGCTATGTACAACTTTGTCATAACTCATAAAACTGTATACTTAAAATGTGTGTAATTTTCCGTGTGTGCATTTTGCCTCAGATAAGTTGAGCAAAAACAAAAAAAGAGGAGGGACAAAGAAAAATGAATAGCGAAATGGCAGACTTAAATCCAACAATATCAGTAATTATATTAAATGTGAATTTGACAAACAATCCCGTTTAAAAGCAGACATTGTTAGAGAGATTTTTTTTAAAAGACCAAACTACATGCTGTCTACTTGAGCCACATAATTAAAATATAAAGACACTGGTAGGTTGGAAGTAAGAGGATGGAAAAGGACTTACAAATAAATAGTACAAAGAAGGCTGATGTGGTTATATCAGTATTAGATGAATCAGACTTCAAGGAAAACTGTACATTTCATAATAGTAAAAGTAGCAAATAATCCATCTGGAAGAGAAAATGGTCATAAATATGTTTGTGCCAATAACATACCTTCAAAATGCATGATGCAAGAATTGATAGGATTAATAGGTGAAAGGGACAAGTCCAAAATCACACTTGGAGATGTTAACATCTGCTCTCAGTGGATGAGAGAACGAGACAACACAATCTGTTAAGACATAGAACAGGGATTGCAAACTACAGCCTCCTGGCCAAATCCAGCTCAGCATCTCTTTTATGTTAAAAGTTTATTGGCTCCTGACATAGAACATCTGATCAATAGTATCAGCTAACTTGATTGATGTTTTTAGGACACTAGATTCGAAATCTAAATTTCAGATGTGTGTATACTGCACATTCTTTTCAAGTACAAATATGTTTTGTATGCATTTGCTGGGCCAAAAACCAATTCTCAATAAATTTAAAATTTAAGGATTGAAATTTAACTGAATATGCCTCTGACCAGCCATGCCTTGTTCTTGATTTTAGAGGGAAAGCTTTCAACTTTTTGCCATTAAGTATGATGTTAGCTGCGGGGTTTATCATATACGGCCTTTATTAGATTGGGGTATATTAATTCTATACCCAATTTATTCAAGGTTTTTATGATGAAAATATGTTGTATTTTGTCAAATCCTTTTTCTGCATCTATGGAGATGATCCTATGATTTTTATCTTTCATTGTAGCAATGTGATGTTTCACATTTATAGATGTGCATATGTTGAAACATCCTTGTTCTCTGACTTCAGGTCCCCCCTGCACATGCCTCAGAGATTAAAGCTGCCTGCCCAGGGGCACCTGGGTGGCTCAGTCTGTTCAGCATCTGCCTTCAGCTCAGGTCATGATCCCAGGACCCTGGGATCGAGCCCCATGTCGGGCTCTCTGCTCAGCCGGGAGCCTGCTTCTGCCTGCCACTCTGCCTACTTGTGCTCTCTCTCTCTCTCTCTCCCTCTCTCTTTCTCTGTCAAATAAATAAATAAAATCTTTTTAAAAAAAGCTGCCTGCCCAGTAGAAAGTAAGAAAGAACAGGACTGACAGAGACAGTTGAGTCCGAGGCTGGGGCTCTCTTTGGTAACATTGCTCAATGAAATGCTTCCTCAAGCCAGAAGCCATTCTAGACACTGGTCACTGTCTTGCTTTGACATCTTCCTTACAGACAAGACAGGTTTGCCTTTATTTTCCCAACTTCTTCCAGCAGACCTATTTATAGACACCCAGGTACAAATTCATAAACATGTAGTCACAGCGTTCTACACAGCTCAGTGTCTCTCTGCAAACAGTATTGATTCTCCCTCAGACAACACTTTGTCCCTCCTCTCTTCCTCCCAGAGACTCACTTCTTGCACTTGGGCCTCGCCCATTCCTGTCCTCGGCCACTCTGGTGCCTCGTAAGCAGCCCCCCAGTGGTGTTAAATAAGGGCATCTTTCAGGGGAAGGCAGGGAATAATGATCTACTTCATCTCTCCTCCCCACCTGAGGAAGACCACTTGCCCTTTTTGTTTTCCTCAAGGACCCTTGTCATGACTTTAGGGAAGAAAGCAGCAGCATAATAAACTGGAAAAACACTGGGGAGAGATGCTGCGAGAGAGAGCCACACGAAGGAAGGAGCTCTGGAAATCCCAGGGAGCCTCAGGGAATGAGGTCTTAGATGATAGGTGAGTATAGAGGGTGGAGTGGGGCCCACTTAACCAATTGTCCCAGCACTTTTCTTCACAGGTCTGAACCAAGGCCAATAAGGCACAAGATCTTACTTAGTATGCTGATGTTCTACATTAATATGTAAGTACAACTATAAAACCAAGGAAATATTCCTTAGTAGCTGGCGGTAGTTCATGCTGAGTAACAGGACACAATTATTTCTCCCATTTCCTAAATTGTCTTCAGTTGCCTTATCCTACTTGAATATCTGAATCCCAGAACCTCCCCTCCAACGTGAGAACAAAGGCAAGAATATTAGGAGGTGGAGAAGCTAAAATTAAACTCAGACACAGAATAGTAGCTGTTCTATTTTCTGTATTTATTAAACATTTAACTACCAAACAAAACACATGGATCCCAAGCAGCCAAGGGCCAGTACAGGCAAAAGACAATGCATCAGTGCGCCAGCGGGGTGCCTAGGCCGGGACATGCGGTTGGGTTTAGCCCCCTTTTTCCTGCTGCGGCTTAGCAAAAAAGGGAGGCACAACGCGCTGCATGGTCCGAATCACCAGGGAAACCTGGTCAAGACAGGAGGTGACGGACATTTGGAGTTGGCCAGGGTCCTCAGCAGTCAATCGGCTAACAAGGAAGAAAAAGTAAAATTCAAGTTAGAGGGGCGGAGGGGTACATTCCCCCATCTGCCCCTTCACACAGCAACACTCCTTCCTTACACTTAATCCCTCCCGGTTTCCATTACAGCTCCTCCTGAACTCACATTGTCCCTGGCCACTTGCCACCACCCTCCCCCGCGACCATTCTAGAACTAACACAGTCAGGACGCTGCCGTTCACACTGAGCTCCTTCCGAACTGGCCCTCGGCGTTCAGCATTTGGAGTCATGAAGCGCTCGGCAATCTCCGCCTCCACGGGCGACGGGAAAGGTATAGTGAGGATGCTGGGGGGGTATGGTTAAGGAACCATCCACGGTATCAGCGTTGCCTCTGCCACAGGCCTCCTCCCCCATGAGGCCCGTCTCCCCCCGCCAGGCTGACCCTACACACATCGGCCACCCTGGACGCCACGGCCGCCACCGCCTCTTCCCCCTCAGGCTGGTTGTCCCCCCGCCGCCACGACCCTGTCAGCACAGGCCAACCCCTAGCCGACACCCTCCAGGTGTCCAGAGCGCCCTCCTGCTCCCCTTGCAAGCCCGCTTGCCTGTGTGCCCCATCAAAACACCTCCAGCCCCTCCCCGAGCCGCCCAGCCCGCAGGGGCTCCGTGAATAGGATACAACTGGAGCAGTCGGCGCCCAGGACCTCCAGCCGCGGGTGCCGCATCTCCGTCAGGCCCTGGGGCGTGGGGGGCCTGTTCCATCTGGGACACGCCACCAGAAGCGGCGCCCGCCTCTCCCTCAGCGCCGCGACCTCCGGGATTGTCCAGGCCTTCGGGCTCGCTGGGGTCACCAGGGTCACGGGGTTCACCAGGACCACCTGGCGCACCCACCACAATGCCCACAGCACCTGCGCCTTCCCGTACAGCCCTCTCGGCTCACCCACCATCCGCCTCAGACCTCATCCTGCATCCTCCCACCTCCTCACGAGGCACCGAAGGACAAAGCACTTCCTGACAAAACTTCACCCCTTCGCGCGCATTGCAACTTGGGATACCCCAGAACGCCTGCGCAAACACACCCCTGGTAGTGCCTCTTGACTCGTGATTGGTTCCCACCAAACAGCCCTAGAGACCCCGTACGTTTTTTCTGTACCCAATCCGTGCTCTGCTCGCCTATGAAGTTCCGCCCCCTTAGTGCCGCTCGGCGAACAGAAATCCTCCGAGCCGGCCCTGCCCCGGCATGCTCAGACTGCCACGTCGCAACTCCTAAAGCCTCTGAGCACGTGACTGTTCCTGCTAAGCCTGCCCCCCTCCCCCGCCCCGTAATGCCCACTTCACCTCAGAACCTGTGCTTCCGTCCGCGTACCTAACCACACATGACCAGCTGGCTTCCTCCATGTCCCCAAGTCAAGTCCTTAGCTCATGGGTTATTAAAAAAGAGGCCCTGAGCTGGATTTGGCCAGGAGGCTGTAGTTTGCCAATCCCTGTTCTATGTCTTAACAGACTGTGTTGTCTTGTTCTCTCACTTCCTAAGATTAAGAGTCTCTTATGGTTTGTCTCCCTCCCTGATTTCATCTTGTTCCATTTTCCCCTCTCTTCCCCTATGATCCTCGGCCTTGTTTCTTAAATTCCACATATCAGTGAGATCATATGATACTTGTCTTTCTCTGATTGACTTATTTCACTTAGCGTAATGCCCTCTAGGTCCATCCACATGGTTGCAAATGGCAAGACTTCATTCTTTTTGATGGCTGCATAATATTCCATTGTATATATATATACCATATCTTCTTTATCCATTCATCTGTCGATGGACAGCTGGGCGCCTTCCATAGTTTGGCTATTGTGGACATTGCTGCTAAAACATTGGGGTGCACGTACCCCTTCGGATCACTACATTTGTATCTTTGGGGTAAATACCCAGTAGTGCAATTGCTGAGTCCAAGGGTAGCTCTATTTTCAACTTTCTGAGGAACCTCCATACTGTTTTCCAGAGGCTGCACCAGCTTGCATTCCCACCAACAGTGTAGGAGGGTTCCCTTTTCTCTGCATCCCCGCCAACATCTGTTGTTTCCTGACTTGTTAATTTTAGCCATTCTGACTGGTGTGAGGTGGTATCTCATTGTGGTTTTGATTTGGATTTCCCTGATGCTGAGTGATGTTGAGCATTTTTTCATGTGTCTGTTGGCCATTTGTAGGTATTCCTTGGAGAAATGTCTGTCCATGTCTTCTGCCCATTTTTTTAAAAAAAAATTTTTAATTTATTTGACAGAGAGAGACACAGCGAGAGAGAGAACACAAGCAGGGGGAGTGGGAGAGGGAGAAACAGGCTTCCTGCCGAGGAGGGAGCCCGATGCGGGACTTGATCCCAGGACCCTGGGACCATGACCTGAGCCGAAGGCAGACGCTTAACGACTGAGCCACCCACGCGCCCTTCTGCCCATTTTTTGACTGGATTATTTGCTCTTTGGGTGTTGAGTTTGGTAAGTTCTTTATAGATTTTGGAGACTACCCTTTATCTGATAAGACATTTGCAAATATCTTCTCCCATTCTGCCGGTTGGCTTTTGGTTTTGCCAACAATTTCCTTTGCTGTGCAAAAGCTTTTTATCCTGATGACGTCCCAGTAGTTCATTTTTGCCTTTGTTTCCCTTGCCTTTGGAGACGTGTCTAGCAAGAAGTTGCTGTGGCTGAGGTCAAGGAGGTTGTTGCCTGTGTTCTCCTCTAGGATTTCGATGGATACCTGTCTCACATTTAGGTCTTTCCTCCATTTTGAGTCTATTTTTGTGTATGGTGTAAGTTTCATTCTTCTGCATGTGGCTGTCCAATTTTCCCAAAACTATTTGTTGAGGAGACTGTCTTTTTTCCATTCCATATTCTTTCTTATTTTGTCGAAGATTGGTTGACCATAGAGTTGAGGGTCCATTTCTGGGTTCTCTATTCTGTTCCATTGATCTATGTGTCTGTTTTTGTGCCAGTACCGTACTGTCTTGATGATGACAGCTTTGTAATAGAGCTTGAAGTCCGGAATTGTGATGCCGCCAGCTTTGCTTTTCTTTTTCAACATTCCTCTGGCTATTCAGGGTCCTTTCCGGTTCCATACAAATTTTAGGATTATTTGTTGCAGTTCTATGAAAAAAGTTGATGGTATTTTGATAGGGATTGCATTGAATGTGTAGGTTGCTCTAGGTAGCACAGACATTTTAACAATATTTGTTCTTCCAATCCATGAGCATGGAATGTTTTTCCATTTCTTTGTGTCTTCCTCAATTTCTTTCATGAGTATTCTATAGTTTTCTGAGTACAGGTCCTTTCCTCTTAGGTTAGGTTTATTCCATTGAATTTCCTTTTTTAACTTTAAAAGTTATGAGATTGGTAATGGAAGAGTTAACTTCTTTAGAGACAAAAAAATCTCTATTAAAACCACCTTTTTCAGCAAAATAATCATCATTGCCATCCTTACCTTCACACTCCTTGTCATTTTCTTATCATCTTCTTCTTCTTTCTGTTCCACTTTTTCTTGCTTTTTCAGCCTTTACAGCTCCATTTTCTGTCATTACCTCAGGTCTCTGTTAGCCACATAGCCGATAATACCCAGATTTCTGACCCAAAATATTGTAAAATATAATACAATGATTATTGGGTTTTTTTTTAAGATTTATTTATTTATTTGTCAGAGAGAGAGAGAGAGATCGCGTGCGCGAACGCATAAGCAGGGAGAGGGGCAGAGGGAGAAGCAGGCTCCCCGCTGAGCAAGGAGCCTGATGCAGGACTGGATCCCAGGGTCCTGGGATCATGACCTGAGCCAAAGGCAGACACTTAACCAACTGAGCCACCCAGGCGTCCCTCAATGATTACTGTTTTAAGCCAGAATAATTTCAGGTAGTTTATTACACAGATCAGATCATTAAAACAACACTCTCACTAAGAACAATTAGAAAATCTGATAAATTGGGGTGCCTGAGTGGCTCAGTCGGTTAAGTGTCTGCCTTCAGCTCAGGTCATGATCCCAGGGTCCTGGGATTGGGCCCCACGTCGTCGGGCTCCCTGCTCAGCAGAGTGTCTGCTTCTCCCTCTGCCCCTCCTCTCCCCTGCTCATGCTCTCTCACTTGCTCTCTCTCTGCCTGAAATAAACTTACTTAGGACTTGTCACTCTTTTCTTCTTTCCTATTTATCCCATTTGGAATGAGAATGTCTATTCTATGCTTATCCCACCATTGTATTTTGGAAGCACACAACATGTATGGTTTCACAGGTTCACAGATGGAGAGGAATTTGCCTCAGCTCATACTTTGAGTTTTTTTTTTTTTTTTAAGATTTTATTTATTTGAGGGGCGCCTGGGTGGCTCAGTTGGTTAAGCGACTGCCTTCGGCTCAGGTCATGATCCTGGAGTCCCGGGATCGAGTCCCGCATCGGGCTCCCTGCTCGGCAGGGAGTCTGCTTCTCCCTCTCACCCTCCCCCTGCTCGTGCTCTCTCTATCTCATTCTCTCTCTCAAATAAATAAATAAATAAATAAAAGATTTTATTTATTTGAGAGAGAGAGAGCATGAGCAGGGGTGAGGGGCAGAGGCAGAGGGAGGAGCAGGCTCCCCGCAGAGCAGGGAGCCCGATGCAGGGCTCAATCCCAGGATCCCGGGACCATGACCTGAGGCAAAGGCAGATGTTTAACCGACTGAGCCACCTGGGCTTTGAGTCTTATCCACATCTGATTTAGGTGATATCTACATGAGACTCGGCCTTAGACTTTAGAGTTCATGCTGTAACGGGTTAAGGCTTTGGGGGCTACTGCATTTTGTGTGCAAGAAGGACATGAATTTTGAGGAGCCAGGGTCGAATATTATGGTCTGAATGTTTGTGTCCCCCCAGAATCCATATACTGAACCCTAACTCCCAATGTGATATTATTAGGAGGTGAGGCCTAAAGAGGTGATTAGGTCATGAGGGTGGAGCCCTCCTGAATGGGATTAGTGCCCTTATGAAAGGGACCGCAGAGAGCACCCTTGTCCCTGCTGCCCTGTGAGGACACAATGAGAAGATGGCCGTCTGTGAACCAGACACAGAATCTGCCAGCACTTGACCTTGGACTTCCAGGCTCCACAACTGTCAGAAATCTGTGTCTGCTGTGTACAAGCCACCCAGTCTGTGCTATTTTGTTGGAGCAGCCTGAACAGACTAAGACAGGGAGAAACTTTTAGACATAAGCTGAGGAACTGCAGTTGCTTTTTGTTTAAAGGAATATGCTGGCTCTAGTTGAAGGATAGATGCTGAGAATCTGTACTTAACCCATACAGAAAGCTACTGCTAAAGTTCAGAAAAAAACATGAAACCTTTTAACAGTTATGTGGGGCTGTAGTGACAAAATTGAAGACTTTAGGGTCCTTAAACTAACAGCTGCTCTCCCCCCAAGACATGTGCATAGTTCTGAACCTGCACAGGGTCGGAGGCTATAGACCTAAGCTGAGCAGTGGTCGGCATTTTCTGTAGTCTCACTGTGCTTGGGAAACAGAGACCTGCTAAAGGAGAGAGGCCCTGAAAACAGTGATGAATTTACACTGATCATCTGCAACCGCTTTTCCCCTGGGAATAATTTCAGCTCTCAATGCAGAGAGAGGCTGAGGGTTGCTGTTAGGGGGTAGAGAAATCAGCAGAACTTTAAGTGGTCAAGTGGAACTGAAGTGACAAAATTGGAGATTTGGGGGATATACTAGTTTGCTAAGGCTGCCATTACAAAGTACAACAAACTTACTGTCTTAAGACAATAAAAAGTGATTCTCTCACATTTCACAAGACCAGAAGTCTAAAATCAAGATGTTGGCAAGCCATACTCTCTGTGAAAGCTCTAGGAAACAATCTGTTTCAGGGGCACCTGGGTGGCTCAGTCGTTAAGCATCTGCCTTCCGCTCAGGTCATGATCCCGGGGTCCTGGGATCGAGCCCCACATCGGGCTCCCTGCTCGGTGGAGAGCCTGCTTCTCCCTCTGCCACTCCCCCCTCCTTGTGTTCCCTCTCCCACTCCCCCTGCTTGTGTTCCCTCTCTCACTGTCTCTCTCTCTCTGTCAAATAAATAAATAAAACCTTTAAAAAAAAAAAAAGAAACAATCTGTTTCATGCCTCTCACCTAGTTTCAGTTGGCTGCCAGCAATCCTTGACATTCCTTGGCTTATAGGTGCATCACTTCAATCTTTGCCTCCATCTTCACGTGGCATTCTTCTTTCTGTGTCAGTGTCTATGTCTCTTCTTGTCTTCTTTTTTAAAGATGTATTTATATATTTGAGAGAGAGCACATACAGGGGGAGGGGTAGAGGGAGAGGGAGAGAGAGAATCCCAAGCAGACTCCCTGCTGTGTGCAGAGCCTGATGTGGGGCTCAATCTCATGACCCCAAGATCACGACCTGAGCCAAAATCAAGAGTTGGACGCTCAACCAACTGTGCCACCCAGGTGCTCCTCTTCTTCTCTTCTAAGGATATCAGTCATGTTGGATTTAGGGCCCACCCTACTCCAGTATGAGCTCATCTTTACTTGATTACATCTGCAAAGAACCTATTTCCAAATAAGGTCATATTCACAGGTACCAGGGG